AAAAATTTTAGCTCTAAACTTTGTTACTAGGTTATGTGAAACTCCAATGAATATTTTAGTGGCTTTCCAATCAAGTACTAGTTAGGTAGATGATGTAACACTTCAATGCGTTACAAGCTTAATTTTCCTCTCATAAAGGCGTACCTATCAACAGTGGATCCCACATTTCAACTCTATGAAGTCCGAAATCAAATCATTCTTGTCGTAAAAATGAACTGTAAATGAAAAGCACTTTAACTACTTCGTCCTAGAACATTCACTGCTCTAGCTAAAAATTACTTGAGCTTCAACATGCCTAGTAAATGAAAGAAATATGGATGGATAACGGACGGACATATGTGGCGACTATCAATAATGCCAAGGGGCTTCATGGTAGTTTCCTTCAGAGTTGTTGAGAATTATGCAGTGTCCGAGGATAAGAAGACCATTTCTTCTGTGTTTTTTCAAGGTGCCCCATTGCTTCCAACCCAGTCAAAACATGAACAATTCCCCGTGTTGATCAAAAGTGAGAAAATCTGGTAGTAGATCTCATTCTCACCACCAAGAAGCTTTGCAGGAGTTTACCAATTAGTCTTTTTCTTTCTTTTCGAATAAATAATGAATAGCTAGTAGTGGTCAACTTCTGTTTTCCCTGTTTCTTTTATTATCTGATTGAATAGAGTGTTCTCAGTGGGCATGCTTTTCTTCTGTAGAATAACTCTCAAAACGTCCAAAATCACATCACTATTGATTAAAAAATTGTTAAATTTACCTGTGCTGTTCATAATGCAAATTGTGCTGTGACAATGACTGCAGTTACAACATGGTAAGTTGCAATCTTCCACAACAGAAAAATATGGCAGTACCCTTGTTCAATAGTGCATGAAGAGGAATACTTCCACACTAGTTTCAATATAAAGAGATTTTTATCCGAGAGTATTGCGTGGAAGACGATGTGACCAATCAAGGCATTTTGCATCCGGGCTTGAGGAATGTTCTATGCACATGATTTGAGAAATGGCCACAAGCCAGAATGTAGATTCTGGTGTGAGGCATGCAACTCTGATCCACTGATAGCCCTCTTGGGCCACAGGCAGCCTATGATAGCAAAAGCTTTTGCTTAAACGAGAGGTTCCAACTCAACATAAAGGCACTGAATTCAGTGTCTATCAGATAATCGAAGGAATGTTTTGCTTGAGAAGATAGAAAATCATGAAAGAAATAGGATAACAAGATATAATGCCCTATAAATGAAGATAAGATGACGCCATCAACAAGAAGCAAAGAGAATAAGATTTACAGTAAGGCTGTGTTTATTATATGAAGAAGCGAATCCTAGAACATTCATGTTTCACCCTGATACAGATATGACTAGCTTTTAGCATCGTATCAGCCTACAATACTGATTGGAGGATCACTGTTTTTGGTCGTTTAAATTTAAACTCTGTTAACAGGTTTTCATAACAAGCCAAGCCGGATTGTATTTATGCCTGTTGATCCCAGTTTTCCAAAAATTTTAACACCTTTTTTTTTAATAGAAAAACAGCTCGATAGACTTCTTAAATATGAAAGTCAAATGTGATCAATTGAGTTCCTCTTGGACCACAGCTACATATGTAAAAACAGTAAATTCAGCTATGAGCGTACAATAAGAATACCAGGTTTTGCTCTCGGTATTCCACACCCAATAAACCCAACACTTGACAGTGCAGAAAAGAAAAGAAACATTCCCACCAATGATACCCTTCCATCTTTGTGCACAGTTATCTGTAATTCTTCCCTACCACTTCGGTTCAAATTCGTCTCTTTGGAATCATTAACTATGTTTCAGCAAATGGCTTGACGTAGGATGTTGTTTTATTGTTGATGTTTCTCCCCAAGGCACCTCAGACTTTCACCGGCACAGCTAGGTTACAGCTGAGAGAATGCAGGGTGCGTTTGTTATTGCAGCTAACTGCACGGCTGGCCGCAATAACAAACATAGCCAATTTTTAAAGTGGTGGGCTGAGTGTGAAGCATACCGATGATGCTTGCAACCAGTACAGGATAAAAGATTTTCTAGAATTAACCTATAACTAGGTTTACAAATGATTTTAAACATGACAGAGGGCGCCAATAAAAATTAAGCCAGATTATAGAACTCATTTAGCTGACTCATGGTGTGTTCCATGTCCTATTCCTACAGTGAAGCAGACTTCTATGTGAGCTCCCATCTGTTGCTGATGAAACACCATGAAATGACTACATATTACACCTTCAATTATCCTGTTACCCCTGCTGACTTGACATTGTGGTGTCTTCACATGCTTCGGGTTCTTGTTTGGCTATAAATAACAGGTCCAAGTTTTTTTTTAATATCTTTAGTTCTTCGGGTCAAGGTTTTTATCCAAACCTGAATTTTAATTTTTTCAAGTTGTTAATCTACTTCATTGTGGATTTCAAAATATTTATATCCATAAGGGTTTGTATTAGCTAATATTAGAGGTAAGCTCCAAAAATTAGGTTATATCTTCTTTGTTTTAGTTGTTTAAATTTGTTTATGGGTATATCTTTTTCTTGTTTTTTTTTTTATCTTGTTTTAGGTCTGATTTGGTTATAGTTCTTTTCAGTTAGTTTTGTTTTCTCTTTTTCATTATCATCTAGTTTTACATGATGAATCCCTTGATAAAGAAAAGTGTCAACATTTAATTCTGTCAAGAATATCTATTTAGAGCACAACAAACAAAAAAAAGATCACAATTTCAAGTATTATAAGGGCTGATTCATTCGAGTAACAAGGTAAATTAAGGTTTTTAGGTTTAGTCTCATTAAAATCAGTTGGATACCTATAGTTTTAAATTTATGATTTTTGGATCAGAATTCCTATTTTATAGTGTTTTTATATTATATCTTGCTTGTCTTTCATCTCATTTTTCTACTTGTGTCAAGTATTCATCAAGAAAGAGAGAGACTAGCAACAATGCCAAAAAAAAATAAAAGACAAAAAAAGATGACTGCTACTTTTATACAAAGTTGGTGAAGGTTACTGTTTACAAGAAAAGAGCTTTGAATGCTTAAACAATATGTCTATGAAGTACTTGTTGGTGATTCGAGGACGAATCATCTTAAATAGAGAGGGAATGATATGATCCAAGAAAAAATTGAATAAAAAAATTCAGATTATAGTGTAATTATGTTTGTTGTCTAGTTTTACTTTATTGCGAATAATTCTTACTCTGACCATTGAATGGGCTAGAATTTTATCAGGAGTTTTCATACATATTATTTTATATTGAGTTTAAATTTTAGGTCAATCAAAATTCAGAAAGATCTTGTGATATAGGTTAGTAAATACAATACAAGATTTGTCTTTTGATTTGTAGACTCCCTATTTAGAAAGGATTCTTTTTCTCATAGCGCACGAATATTTAACAATTTATTTTTTGGAGTTTTCTAATTTTACAAGGATTTTTAATGAGCAACCTTTTATTATTGAATAATTTAGATTTTTACTTATGCAAATCACATTCTTTATTAGGACAAAGATCAACAACTAACTTATTAAGGTATAACTGACATCGTGGCATCTTTGCATACTTTGGGTTCTTATTTCACTATAAAAAATAGGTTCAGGTTCTTTTACAATACCTTTGATTCTTTAATACAAAGTTATTTTTAGGTCAAGGTTTTCATCCAAACTTGAATTTTAGCTTTCTTGAGTTGTTTATCTACTTCGTTATAGGTTTCTAGACCTTTATATTCATGGTTTGCATCACATTGCTTCTAAGAAATTGCATTAGCTCTCCTTTGGTCTATTTTCAGTGTTAGACAGCATGAAGAAAAATCATCAGAAGACCTATATTAGTAAACCAAAGCATAAGCGGCAAGAGTCCTTGTTTCCAAGACATATCTTAATGAGTTCCAGTGTAATTAAATCAGGATTGCATAAACAAATCTTGATACATGGATGTTCTATCAAGCCAAGTCTCTCTTTTCAAAGTGGATAACAATCAACTACATCATTCAAAGTGGTTAGAACCAAGCAATTATGAAGAGAAAGCAACTTAGAAAAGTGCGGGCACTGGTCATATACAGCATGCAAAGGTTTGGTGGAGGAAACTCAGGCACTTATTCCTGCTAGCAACGGTTATAAATCTTGCTGGACGTGTCTTGTGCAATACACTTTGGAGTCTAATCTAGGCTAGTGTGTAGAAGTTGCTCCGTACTGCGAGCGAACAGGTATGGCATTAAAAGTAATTCAAGTAGTTGGGCTAGAAAATGAAGTCCTACAAAGACCATAACCACAATTTACCGATTTAGTAGCCGCTTAATCAGTTGATAAAGACTTTTGAAGATGGTCAGGTTATTATCCCTTGTCACGCCGAGTCCTTTTTGGAGGGCAAGGGATTTCAAGTTTCAAATCAAAGAGACATCATCAAAGATAGTGCACAATGGTATTTCTATTCTCCAAGAATATTTAGAGAAAACACAACTAAGGGAAGTGTGAAAAACTATACCCGAAATGCATTTGTAATGCACTGAAGGGTCCAGTAGGCATGTTGAAGTCGATAATTGGTATCATTATGGAGCTACATGAAGTCAACGGTAAGGAGAACCTAATTCTCACTCTTCAAATCATCTATGCAAGCTCCTGTGGTTAAGGTGGCATGGCTATAGCAAAATAGCAGCTCGATTTGGTTACCCATTTGCAAGGGCAGCAGTTTTTGTTATGGAACTAGACTGTTTTCTGCAGTTCAGGATCTCAAGTGCCTCTCTAAAAGCATCCAGTGACAAAGCTGTTATCATTTATATCATACCACGAGCCATGCACATGCTTTTAGCGGCTTTATTTGTACACTACTCATGCCAAAGAAGATGGGATTGAGGTTGCCATCCTCTGAGCAAACTATTAGGTTCGAATGACACAAGCAGGATTGGTTCATAAAATTATGCCGAGGGAACTACTTCATCATGTCTGAGAGCATCTCAGAAAAGATATTGATGGAATCGATGAACGAAAGCATAATCTTAAAAAAAAAAAATTGCAAAACAAAGCAAGAATTTAAGATTTTATTTCATTAAATTTGCAATTTACAAAAATGGTGCAGCGTTACCATAAGTCGAGGTGAATTGCACCAGTGTTAGGAAGGAATCAGAATATAAAGAAACTCCCCAGAAAACAATTTTGCTTTCAGTTCAATCCCTGCCCTGCAAAACCAATTTCCAACACCACAACTAATAACCCAAACTATCCATGAAAATCATAAAAAGGTAATCAACAACAACAATGAATTGGATTATCCAACCAGAAATATAAACAACATGGATATGAAACGAGAGATTATCACCTTTCATGATTCAGGCAATTCTTGAACCTTGTATGAATCTGGTGTAATTTCAGCTAGCCACAACCCAGGGAAAATTGACTGTAAAATAGTCAATAAAAAATGCAAATCAGCATTCTGGAAACCAACTACAAAACAAAAATGAGTCAAATACTACAAAAAGGAAAGGAAATGAAAATCTACAACTTTTAATCTGTTTAGTACTAGAACAAGAAATTTTTTGGAGGAAAAAATAAAATTTTATGGCTTGATAATTCTACAACTGACTGGTTAGCCAATCACTCAATAAAAACAAAACATTTTCTCAACAAACAAGCAAGAAAATCAAAACCCAGAAATACTTACATCCAAATTCTTCTGTGCGATTCGAGGCCTCTTCTTAGGCCTCCTTGGTGGCCTAATTCTAACCATCTCAAGAAAATCCTCTTCAATCTCTTTCTTTGATAAAGAAATCGAAAACTTGACTTTCTCCTTCATCTCGAAACTCTGCTGCCTCTTCACCATCAAACTCTCATAATATTTCTTTGGTGAATCAATCTCTAAATACCTCCTTGGAGAAACAACAACATCTCTCCTTGACGGCTGCTCTTCGATTCTAAGTGGAGCCTTACAAGCTGCCCTTCTAGTCCTCAAATTCCAGGGTCTTGGAGATTCATCAATATTTTCTCCTCCTTTCTCTTCCTCAACAACAAAAGGAGAAGAAGAAGGAAGCTTCAATCTTTTGGCAGCAGCATTGCTGACTTGAATCGGGTTTGGTTTATAATTCTTGTAAGAAACCAAATTGATGGGTTTTGATTGAAATCCTTGCTGGTGCTGATTATCATCATTGCTATTGATAATGTCATCACTGACTTTGACACATCTAAGGAGTCTCTGATTGCCCCATCTCAAACAAGGCAAAGAAAAGTTGTGTAGTTGCTTTGATCTCTCTTGAGATGATGAGGACGCCATTGGTATTCGCAAACAAAACCACTACTTCTGAATTTGTGAGTCTTTCTTTATTTTATGTGAAGCTGTGTGTTGAAGGGGTTGGATTGTGAGGGAATTGTGGAACGAAGAGAGCAAACAAAAAGGATGGAACTTTTGGTCATCAAATGAGATTGGTATATGACAAGAATCCTTTTATATAATCTAATCGTCGGGGAATTTATAGTTATACTCTGAGAGATGTTAAATCAGGAGAGGAGAGGAGAGAGCGGTTTTAACGTTCGGGTAAAGACTTTACTTTGGTTGGTTGGTGTTTCCACATTTGTTATTTACAATTGAAATTTAAGGTCCCTGTGGTATTTCATCTTCATCATATCAGTCCCTGTGCTTCAGAAAGAAGATAACTCAGTCCTGCGAGGATCAAGAATATGAATCCGTTTTACAGACTTGTTCTTGGTTGATGGTTTTTCTATCTTTTATGACCATTTTTTTGAAAAATATTTTAGTTTTGAGCTTTAAATTAATACATTAGGATAGTTCTATTCCAAAATCCAAATGCGAAGGACCCAATTGAACTCTTGGAACCCTAAGATTCAAAGTTAAAAAATAAAAATAAAAATAAGCACCCATTAGAAACAGAGACTTTTTTTATTTTTTTTATTTTTTTTATTTTATCTTTACTTTGTTCCTCAATAGTGTAAACTAGCCAAATGAATGCCCATAACCTATCTTTACTCAATTATGAAAATAAATACATTTAAGAATCCAAATGACTTAAATTATAAAAAATATATAGTTTTTATTTAAATCTTCATTTTGTTATTAATGTATTTTTTTTACTTTTATGAAAAACATGTATTTTTCATAAGAAGCATGATATTTTGAATAAAAAACTAACACAATTAAAATTATACATTCAAAATGATTTAAATCACTAAGAATAAAAACATTTTCTTTAGCCAAAACCCTCCATCTTTATTCGTGTATTTTTCATATAAAAAACATGTGTTTTTAATTAGAGTAATGATTTTTTAAATAAATACTTAGCATCATATAAAAAATAAATATTAATAAAAAAATCATGACATGATAACTCTAACGCAACAATATAAAAAAATGATTAATTTGAAAAATTTATATAAAAAGTTAACCTAAAAAAATACTATCATCATTGAATATTCATGAATAATTTTCTAAATATTCATACATATTAGATTTATATAATATTTTTTTATAAATTAAAAAAATATTACTATAAAAAGCTTTTTATTAGAAAATAAAAATATATATAATTAAAAAAAATAAAACCCACCTGACCTTTAAAAAAAAAACCTACTAGTCATTTTTAAAAACCTTCAGGCGGATGAAACATCATCTCATAGGTAAATTACAAGAATCAAAGTGTAAAAAATTAGAAAATATAAATAATAAATGAATATAATTATTACAAATAATCTCAAAAAATATAAATAAAAGACATTAAAATATACAAAGAGAGGGGGAGACACCTAGATATTAAAAGGGAGAGGCCATTGCAAAGAAGAAACTGAGCTAATAACAAAAGAAAATAGGAAACAATAAAAACACATATAAAGAAAACTAACCATCCATAGCTTTAAAAGAGAATATGTTAAGAAAGTTCAACCACAATAACAACCTTTAGGCCTTTGATTTTTCACACCAATAGAGATAGTTTATTTGATGAGTTTAGAGATTTAATTAAGCTTAGAATTGATTCAATTAATAAAATCAGGGATTTAATTGAAGAAATATTAAATTTCAAAGTTAATTAAGGTCTAAATTGATTACAATTGAAGTTAATAATTGTTTGAAAAAAGGAGCCAAGATTCAGGGGTCTAATCATAGTTTCCCCGAGAGGCTATTTAGAGAATTCCAAAGCTTCATGGATCAAATTGAAAAGGGTCATCTTAAGCCAAAACGATGTCATTTCAAACAGTTTTTCATCTTCTCTCTCTAACAATACAAATCTGCTTGCAAAGAAGGGAAAGAAATTGAAATGTCAGCATCCTAGTCCTACCAAAACAAAAAGATCAATCTCTATTTTCATTAAGATCACAATCCTGAGGAGATAAGGATTGAATCTCACGTCTAAGTCCCAGCAAAACATTAACACCCCCAAACTTATCCTCTTCCTAGGAAAAAGAGACGTACTAGGGAATAACCATTTGTTCTTGCCCTATAAAAGGCTAGCGAAAGGCTAGATAAAAAGGGGCGAAAGAAAACAACAAAAACACGACCCCACAAACAAAGTAAAGAACAATATAGAGAGAGAAACCAAAAAAAAAACAAAGAAAATGAGAGAGATAAAACATGAGAAACAAAAACAAAAGGAATAAAAAAAAAGAAGAAGAAAAGAGGAGGAGAAAGCAGAAAAAGAAAAAGAAAAAGAAGAATAGTGGAAACTCCAGAACTGCAAGCCAAGCTTTAGCAGCACCTCTCTCCAGCATCAAACTCAGGTAAGTCTCCATTTTTTTCCTCCTCTATAATTTAATTACATAGGTACCGTAGCAAGCATGCGAACTTATGCACGCTTACAAACCAACAACTGGTTACTCGTCTAAACTAGTAACTAGGTCGGGTTGGATGGGTCTAACTTAGTCCATATGGTTGGGCTAAACCCCACTTGATAAAAAGAAAAGAAAAAAAAGCTAGCCGGATTTGGACTTTAGGCTTAACTGACTCAAGCTATTTTTGGCTAAAGGTATGTTTAGCAAAACATATCTTTATGCCTTTTCAATATATTTTATTTCCTTTTTTGTTTTGATATTGATCAAATGAGTTCCTTTTTTATATCAAAAAATTCCAGAAAAAATTGGAGATCTTTGTTGATTTATTTGTAGGCCCTTCAAGCTTTGTTTTATTTTTTTTCTTTATGCTTTGTTTTATTTTTTTTTCTTTATGTTTTGTTTTTTCTACTATATGCTTAATCTGTGGATCATTACTGTTAAACGCAAATATGTTGTGCAATGTTTTTTTTATTATTATTCTTGTCTAAAAAGAGTATATAATTAAAGAAAAGGTATGGAAAAAGAAAAAGGTCTGGAAAAATTGTTTTTTCTTCATTAAAAATTCAAAATTTTACAAACTTATTCACTATTACCAGAGTCGGAAATATCATATTTTTTGGGTTTATGTAATATTTACCAACATCAAAGTTGCAAATATTCATAGGTATTGTTCACTGATACCAAAGTCAAGAACATGATAGGCAGGAAAAAAAAAAGGAGAGAACAAACTTTTAATAATATTAGATAAAACCAGCAATGTGACATGCCTCAAGTAGGACGCTTAAGGGGTGACAACATCTTGTCTTTTGTGTAACTAGTCTCGAACTATAAAATCTCTATTAACTAGTGAGGGTTCCTAGTAACCATAATATTAAGTGACAACTTCTTAAACGAGAAATAATTTCCTAAATGACAAGATGTTAGATATTTGTTCTTTGCCTAAAAAACTAATCAAAATTATTTTTAATCAGTTACCACAATGTTTGGATATGACAATTTCCATGAAAGCTTAGACGAACCTACTCTTAGCTGCTACATAAGTATTTATATAACTAAAATCAAGAAGTAGAGTAATTTGGATAGTGCTTTTATAAATATTACTAGCTAAATCTAGAATTAACTTTATAAAGTATGGAGAAAAAAATCAATAAAAATGTTAAAAGGTATGCACAAATATAGCAAGAAGTTGTCGTTTAAGTCAACCCTCTTCTATCTAAAAAGGAAATGATATCCATCTTCATAAATACTTTGAAAACTCATTATGTTTTATATATAATTGTACTACTTTGAAACAATTCTCAGATATTATGGTTATGGTTAAAAGAGTCGAACGAGTTCTAAGAGAAGGAAATATCTAAGATATAAGGGCATCTCCTGTAATTGTTAAGGTTACAACTAAAATGAATCAATAAGTCAATAGTAGTTAAGGAAAGGACCCAAAAATTTGGTCATATCATCCAAGTTTTTCTCATCATCAAGCTCCTCACATTTCAACTACTTACATATCTCTTTTAACCCTATTAAATGCTATATTCTTCCATAAAATCTAAATACCTACCACATTCTCTTTTAATCTTAAACATCATGCTTCTTAAAGCATATAATGTCTAAGTTATAAAATAAAACACCATGAACAATCTTCCTTTTTAGTTCCTCTCATTAACTTTATCAACACCTTGTGAATGCTCGTTAGATAATACATCCACCATTTGAACCTAGTTAACCACCTTTTTCTAAATGGTTGACACAACTAAAAGATTGATGTCTTCTCCCAAGTGCAGGAGTGTCGAAGTAATAAATAACCCGGCAAGACCGGGGTCAAACCATAGGGAGGTTAATTGTACAAATTATAAACAACAATAATAGCAATAACAACAATAACTATAATAATAATAATAATAATAATAGTAATAAAGAAAGAGAAGAAGAAGAAGAAGATGATGAGAACTTGGAGATGGAAAATTAATGTAAGGATTAAACAATAATAATAACAAATGTCAAGGTTAGAGGTTCCACTAATAGTATATCAAATAAGTATAGTATAAACTCTTATTATTGAATTGGAAACCACACACAAAGGAGGTTCCAATCAGATTATATATTGTTAACATGATTACATTAGTCATCTTATTCAATTAATGCTAATACTTGTAAATCTCGTCAAGCATTCATGATTATAACTTATGTTAACAACAAATCAAGTTCCTGAAATTGGAAACTATTGATTTGATGACTAATTAATAAGTGAGTGGTCAACTCTTGACTTGGTGACAATCCTTATCTTCTCATATCTATCCAAAACATCATTGATAACATCAAACTTGGAACCACTTGATAACATGAAAGTTGTAGGAAATTATCTCAAATTTTTAGGAAAACAAATAGAGGTCATTTGGTCTTCTAAAACTCTAGATATGGGCTAAACACTAAACAGTGTTCGGGCTATAGAATAGATTCGGACTTTTTTGTTATTGCTACAATTTGGACTTGAAAATAATCTTTTAAATCTTCGGCTCCTATAAAAGTTATAGGCCTATATCTTACCTTTCAATCCATATAAAGTAAACCTAAATCCGAGATCTACAGCTCCATATATGACCTAATTACTAAACAGTGTTCTGATTTGGACTGCACTAGCTTCTCTTTTATAAGTTTGGCCATCTCTTTGTCCTTTCAATTTCAGTTCTTAAACTCATCAATCAATCCTTTTATTTATGTGATAGGTCTACATTTAAAATGAACATTTACCATAAATTAAAGGTATTTTATATTATTA